CTATCTATCTATCTCATCTATCTATCTATCTATCTATCTATCTATCTATCTATCTCATCTATCTCATCTATCTATCTATCTATCTATCTATCTATCTATCTATCTATCTCATCTATCTATCTATCTATCTCATCTATCTATCTATCTATCTGCCTGCCTCATTTCATATTAGGCCCTGAGTTACCTGTGACAACCGCTATTTGTCTTACCGCTGTCAATAGTTTTTCCTGCTGCTGCTATTCCTTAACTTGTTTCCAAACAGACAGTGTTACAAAGAGGATGGCACTTCCAAAAACCCCGACTGTCCGGTGTGTAGCAAGTCCCTCAATAAGCTGGCTCAACCCCTGCCCATGGCCCATTGTGCCAACTCCCGGCTAGTCTGCAAGATTTCAGGAGACGTGATGAATGAGAACAACCCCCCTATGATGCTTCCCAACGGATACGTCTACGGATACAATGTAAGTGGTGGCTCAGGGCCCTCCGAGTTCAGGCTTTGGCCTGGGCTATGATAATAAACTCATCACATTTTTAATAGAAGGGTTTGTAAAATTCCGGAAAAAAAACAACAGTAAGAAGCTGTTTCGCCACAGGTGGTCCTCAACCTAACAACAGTTCATTTAGCGACCGAGGTTTTAAAAAGATTCACTTAATACCATGGGATTCACGTAACAACTGTAGCATGAAAAGTCATAAAATGGGAGCAAAACCAGTGGTGGGATTCAGCCAGTTCTGACCGGTTGTAGAGAACCGGTAGCGGAAATTTTGAGTAGTTTGGATTTTGGAGAACCGGCCAATCCCACCTCTGACTGGCCCCACCAACCCCCTCTCTTCTCTGCCTCCCATTGAGTCCCAGCCGATCGGTTGGGTCTCCTTTGGTTGCCCTGCACAGGAGAACGGAGCTGGAAAGCAGGTGAGTGGGTGGGGAGGGGGATTTTGCAGTAACCTTCCCCTGCCACGCCCACCAAGCCACGCCCACAGAACTGGTAGCAAAAAAATCATTCCCACCACTGAGCAAAACTCCCTTAACTGTCTCGGTTAGCAGGAGAAATTTTGCCATCCGTCACGGTCGTAAGCCGAGGAATTAACCTGTAGCGGAAGATCCTTGTGGTTTGAGGCACCGCTGACCTTTCTGTTCAGAGTATCGCAGTGTAAATTCAGCACCAGAAAAACAAACACAGACGGCTGAGGCTTCATTTAACTTCTTTATAAACACATAAAGTGGATTTTACAATACCAGTTGTAGATTTCTCCAACATGGAGCAAACTCAAACAGAAGCAGACGTGTTACAGGTTCAGAGCAGAACAGCAACTCAGCTTCAGCTCAGAAACAGACCTCAGTTTCACTTTACTTCAGCAGGCAAGCAGGACACGCAGCAGAGGAGAGAAGCCGTTTTATTTTCAACAAACTCAGAGCTGCAGAGCTTAACAGAGCCATGCCTAGGCTACTTCTAGTTTCAGTTTCCAAACAGTCATCATTGGCTGACCTCGTTACCCTGCTCTACTCCAGTTCATGAATAGACTCTGACAACTTTCTCCTGTGTTTCGTTCCAGTCCTTGCTTTCTGTTCGTCAGGATGACAGAGTCGTTTGCCCGCGAACCAAAGAGGTCTTCAGCTTCTCCCAGGCCGAGAAAGTCTTCATTATGTAAAAAAAAAAAAGGGGCCCTTTCTCACGCGCAAATGAAGTGCCACCGGATTTTGACATGATTTATTCGAGCCGTGCGCGCCCTGTAAACCAGAGATCTTGGGGAGTAACGCGCGGCGGCGAAAAGCTGCGACTCGGGTGGGACGGGGTGGGAAAACGGAGGCTTCGTTGGTGGCATTTTTTTCTTTCTCCTTGCGACCAAAGATCCGTGAGCAAAAAAAACAACAACACAACACTCTTGAGAAAAAGCGAGGAAGTGCGACTCAAGTTAACAAAAAGAAAAGAAAAAAAGTTGCACTCGGAGGGAACAAATTTTGAATGTTTGGATTTTTGTAACCACAATTGGGTTTTTGTTTTGTTTTTCCCCACTCAAATACTCATCCAGGGGAAGCAGCTTATTCAAACCAGGTCATTTTCCCATGTGTGAGAGAGAGAGAGAGAGAGAGAGAAATAACTTTAGATCTCAAAAAGGTTCTACCTGTGTGTGAAATATTGTATGATTCGAAGGTGACACAATATGCAAACCTACCAGAAGACGCATCCGAGGGCTGGCTTCAGCTTTCAGATGCGTATCAGTCTCGTGTCCTTCGGGACCCACATGCCACACAAGCCACTTTCCCCTTCCAATGTGTGGTGGTGTCGCCAACTGGAAGCACGCACCCAGCTGTGCAAAAACACTTTGTGTTAGCAGACACTTTGTGGTTTGGTATCGTCTGTCACGTAGCCTTTAAAAGACAGCCAGTCCTTGGAATTGATGCCGGATGGATGCTAACACAAGAGAAGAAAAGGTTAAATAGAGAAGGGTTTGTGGTTTTTCTCAGCTTTGGGAACTGGAAGAATTCTGGGAGTTGAAGTCCATCTCTCTCCCAGTTCCCACTGTTGAGAAATTTCTGTCCTAGATAATTTGAAGAATCTTTTAAAAATTGCATTAAACGCAGAACTGGTCACATTGCAGCCACAATGTGCCACTCGTCCGTCTGTCCTCCTTTCCAGTTGACCAATAGTGTTAAGGACTTTTCGTTTTATTAGTATGTGCATAGGATTCAAATATCAAAAACCCATTTAGTGCTACTGCCTTATTTTCTTGCTTTTGAGAATGTATTCACATGAAAAAGAAAAAAAAATCAGCTGGTAACCTTAAGTTTTGAAGAAGAAGAAGAAGATGCCTTGAATTATGTAATTTTAGGGTATTGGTGGCCCAAGAGAGGTGGGTTAGTTCAATTTTTAAATCACATCCTTATCATCTTACAGACACACACACACCCCTCATTGTAGTAGAGACAAAAACCATACCATAGACTTTGTATTTAGCCTTTATTTTTGCATGTTGATGTTGATTAGCTAATAAAGACATTGCTCATAATAAGCCTCGTTTCTGCTCGTTCGTTAAAGCTATGTGATTTAAAAACCAAATGATTAATAAGATATTTTTTTTCCTGCAAAAAAAAAAAAAGGTGGATTATTGGGGTTCTATCAAAAACTTGTTTTTCACAAGTAGCAGCCTTTCAAATTTTCCTTAAATCATTTTCTGAGAGAAAGTGCCAATTATATGATGAAGATTTTGTGTGATTGCATA